GTTATCAAAAAAGAGAGCTCTCTGGTGCAAACTCTACCATTCTCAGCTGCTTGCCGCACTGGTTTTTTAAACCAGAAAGGCTCAGGGCATGAGGAGTGACTTGCCAACCCTCTTACTTGTGAGTAAAACATCTTGGAGCCCTCCTGAGCTGTGCTGAAAGCACTTCCTGCAGGGGCCCCTGTCACCACAGCACTACAGCTTCATTTCTCTTTCTGGAAGAACTGGAATTGAAGCCCCCTGGAGCAGGGCTTTCTCAAAAGGGAATGGAAAGCCAGAGTGTCACTCATGCAAGTCCCTGGGCTACAGCAACTCCATTGAAGCCAGGGGAAGCAGTGGGCATTGGTGACACTAATGTCTCCTCATAGTTTTCCTCCATCTCTTCTGATCCTAGGCTATTTCAGGATCTTCCTGGGAGAGAGAAGCTGAAGTTCTTTTCAGAATTGGGAAAATCATTAATTTAACACTGCTCCCCCTCTTTTCCATCCCCTGCCCCAGCTGTGTAATCTTGCCTCTAACCATGCACACTCTAGTTAATAAAAAACACTGAAATATAGGTTCAGTTCCTGCTATTTCCAGGAACATTTGGTCCCATAAAACCATAGGAAACCATAATTTCAGCAAATTAAATCAGTTACTGCCTATCTCTCTGGCTGAATGCATGGAAAGGGAAGAGCACCCTGCTGGCTCCATGCATGGGGAGTAACACCAGTCAAATTCCACTAGTGTCCGTGCTGGGAAAGGGAGGCAACAGGCAGTCCAAGAAAGGCATGTCTCCTTTGAGCAGACATTAAAGGAATACCATGTGCAATAGGGAAAATGTACAGTGAGCACGGAGCTCATCAGTCACTTTTTGTTTAATCTATTTAAACACAATATATCCTCTGACCTTCTGGGCTGGCACTAAATTCTCCTATGTTGTTCTTTCCATACGAAGCTCTATTGACAGATGGGGAAAGCCTGGAGTTTGCTTTAAGCTTCAGATAAGTAAAGTTAAACATGCAGCAGATAAAATTGTTTTCCCAGCACTCCTCTCCCACTGACCAATTGTGGGTGCACACTAGGAGGGCTTAATTCCTCTGGCTTGTATCCCACCCCCAGGTCAGGGCACTGTGCTCTGCGGCAAGCAAAAACTGTAAGAGGGCAGAGGCAGAAGCAGAGGGCTGCAGAAACCCTGGAAAATTCATTTTTAGAGTTGGTTCTGACAGTTGCTGAGCTTCATTTCCATGTGGCAGACTATTAGGGAAAATGGTGCTGCTCCTTGCTAAATATATTTCCAGAGTCACTAAATAATTTACTTAGCAGCTAATCAGTTGGCATTTGCTGATGCTAAAGCAGGTTTTAAATTAAAAGTGTCGAATTGCATCAGACACCTCGTGCATGTTCTTTGCTTATACAGACTCCATGCTTTTGCTTTGTCTGCAAGAGTGCAATTGGTCAACACAGTTTTGTGAATTTTCTGGGAGGTCAAGAAACCACAGAGTTGGATTTGGGGAACAGCAGGGTGCCAGGGTGCCACAAGCAGGTGCAGGCTTTGATCATGCAAAAGAGTTGGAATTGTGGTCCCCTTTCAGCGTGACAACCTGCGGGCTCACTTCCTTGCAGGCAAATGAGAAGAGCACACATCTGCCCTTCACGAGCATCACTTGGTAACACCACCTACAAAGCTATTTTTTCCAGAATGGTGAAAAATCCTTTAGTCCGAGTCTGGGGAGTTATCACAGGTAACACCTCCACGTACGTACAGCTGTGCCTGTGCTCCTGGATGTGCCAGCAAATAACTCCTTGAAATGTAAACCAAAAGTTACAGAGAAGCCCAGAGGCGATAACCTTATGGTTCCCAACAGGCCGTGTTAAAGAAGATTTCTTTACTGTAAATAGCTTTAATGCTCCTTTTATCTATTAATAGCACCAGGCAGGGCAGGAGGCAGCAGCCCGCCGAGCGCAGAGGGGCTGTTTCCTCTGAGGGGCCGTGGAGTCAGACTGGAGTGGTGTGAACCTTGTGGCTCTGATTTTCCATGGCCAGTTGAAGGAGCCTGACACAGAGTTTGGCATGACCGGAGATCCCAAGCTGTCGGCTTTCAGATCTCTGAACACACAATGGTGTCTGAATAAAGAAGCTCTCAGCCATTCTCAGAGGCTGTGAAGGACCCTCCAGATGGTTAACAGCCACCTAACATCTCTCCTGGACCTCTAGGGAAAATCTAAAGGCTGACTTTTTGGAGCCACTCTTTACCTAGGGAGAATTTTGTTAGCTTCAGGCAAAGGGGGTGGCAGGATCCCTGGGGACATTTACTAGGGTTGCTCCTGTTGCTCCTCCATGGCCCAGACTCCACAGCCTGTTGGCAGCCCCAGAGAGCAGACAGGTGGAGTCATGCAACTGCTGGTTTACTAGAGGAGCTGCCCATTGCAAAACTCACTGCCTTTTGAGCAATAGGACATTTTGTATAGATCCCCAGAAAAATTGGACCCAGCAGGCTGCTCTGCAAAATGAGTTGTGCGTGCTGGGCAGTAACGTACCATGGGCTGAGGGCACAGGATAGCTTTCTTTTGATGAAGCAAATGTTCCCTCATTACACTGGGAGTGGGTTCAGGCATAAAACGAAAAATCTGATGACTGCTGAAGGAATTGAAGGATTTGGAGAGAGGAATTGGTTCCTCCTCTCTCCTGCAAGTGCCCATGTGGTTGCCCCTGCGAAGTCGGGGGGAAGATGCTGCGTGAAGCAGAATTGTGGGTGACCCCTGTGGCAGAGGCATCTGGCCTTGCAGTCAATTTCCATCCTCAATATAAAAAAGTCATTACACACGTCCTTAAAACTTGGGTTGGAAATGCCTGGCCAAAGGTGTGCCTGAAACCAGGTAAAGCCCAGATGAAAGAGTGTAAGGGATGGGGATGTGTTACATGGTCCTCATGCAGCTGTTTCTGTCTCATTCAGCTCAGCAGAAGGGTTGTAGTTGTGTTTTGTGTCTCCAGGGGACTCAGGGTCATTCCCCTGCACTGGGAGCAGTGCTGGAGCAGAGTTCATTGCTCCTGGGAAAGCCCTGGCAGGGGCAAGCCACCTGCTTTAGGGGCTGCTTTCCTTCATTCTGCCTGTGTTTTGAAGTACCTCAAGGTTTTAACTATAAAGGTCTAACCACTGAAAAACAAAATCTTGGATTGGGAAGGCGTGTTGCCTTGGCATGTTTCCTGGGACTGAGTGACTTATGATGCTGTGCTGGAAGCTGGGGGAGGACTCCTTGTTTTAGAGGAGGTGGGTCACTCTCATCTACAGTCCAAACTGCCTCAGAGACCTTTTCTTCCCCCTTTTTTTTCATGACATCAGCCAGGACTTGATGTTACTATTTTAAAAACAAAAGGAGGGGACACCCCCCCGCTTCCCTCCTGCTCTCTGCCAAAAGGAGAACAAAGAACAGCTAAAGCGCACAAGTTCTGGCACTCTCTTTGGAAATAAAAACATTCATCCTCATGTCAGGTAGGGAACTGCCCGACCCCCCTGCCAAAGCAAGCAAGCTGGGCGGCAGAGCAGACCCATGGCATGGAGAAACCTGGGCGAAGGGGATGCCCGGTGTCACCCTGTGCTCAGCAGCTCCTTGCCAAACTCCTGCACTGCTGTACCAGTGCCAGGGTGCTCTGGGACGCTCCTGGCCACGGGCAGTCTGCCAGGGGAGGGCTACCCTGATCCTCCCGGGCTGGGAGGTGGGGGAGGATCTTTCTTCCTCCCCTCTCCCACCCCTGGTCCCTGCTGCTTGGTCAACCCCTGCATCTCCGTGTGATGTGTCCCAGCTCCCCAGCAGGGCTGGTGCACAACACAGGGGTCACCCGGTGTGATTTCCATACTTTAGACACTAACATCTTTGTCTGGCTTCTTCCTCACCATTTAAACATGTCAGCAGTTCCCAGCACGGATTCCTGTGCTGTGAGTTCACCCCCAACAAGCATCCAAACTGCAAGTTGGGGCTGCTGGCTCTTCCCTGCCTGTCTGCGAAGCATTACTGGAACAGGGGCTGGTTCTCCAAGCATGAGGAAGAGATTACTTGCGCTTTCTGGAAAGCTCCCTCCCATGCCTTCAGAGTGGAGCAAATGAGGATAATTTATCTGCAGGCTTCCAGCTGAACCCAGAAGCTTGGAGCAGCCAGAACTACGCTGTCTGTTTGTCCCAGCTCCCACAAGAAGGCATTTTTCCATTGTTGCTGTTGTATATTGTTCACATGATTTGTTTGTGCCATCACCTTCTGGGGCTGAGATAAGAAGTCATCCCCCTGCCTTCTACTGGTGGTGTGTTCCCCAGAACAATCCAGGGGAAAACTCTCTCAGGAAGGAGCCTTTGAAGGAGGCCTTCGTATGTCTAATGCAGCCTTACAGCCATGTAAATAGCTTTGTGCAATCTATCTGGTGAGAAGCAGAATATACCAGACGGGAATTGTTCTCTAAACTGCAGTTATGGATGGGCCAAAGCGGGCGGATCAGTGCACGTGGGTCACCAGCATAATGGACACAGCAGCTGCCTTTCAGGGGGAACAAAAGCCAGGCAGTGAGCCTCTCTGTGCCTGTGCGAGCGGCTCTTGTTCCCGGCAGGAGCTGGAATTCAGTTTTGTGGTCGGATAGCAATCCTGGGTTCTCTTCTCCGCTCCATCTGCTGTGATCTAATGCAGTGCTCAAGGATGGGTTAATGTCCCTGCTGCTTCCGCAGGGGGATGCAGGGAGAAAAGACAAGGCGGTATGGATGGCTGGGCCCTCTGCAGCAGAAGCAGCCAACTGGAACAACACTGTAACACCATCCACTTTAGTGAAGTTACTCGTGATTTTTGAATGTTGAGGCCCAGCGGCTCTGGCTTGGCACAGTGCAATGGGAAAAGAGCAGATTGTCTGTTTGCTTCCATCCTGCGCTGGCTCCGGTGCCTCTTTCCCTGTCCAAAACAGCTGCGTGCTGCCTGAAGTGACTTTACAAACAGTAAAGGCTTAAAACATTGCATTCACCTTCATGATTTTTTTTTCCCTTTAGAGCAAATCATGGCGGAAGATCAAGAATATGGTGCACTGGTCCCCGTTTGTGATGTCTTTCAAGAAGAAGTACCCTTGGATCCAGCTAGCGGGACACGCAGGTACAGAGCATGGGGAGGGGCAGAGTGGTGGAAAGGTTCTTTATTATCTCAGGTTAATGGGCTTTGTTGGCCTCGATTACTTCAGATTGCTGCATGAGTGTCACAGCTTGCAGCTCCCATGTCTCTAGTCCAGGAGAGGGACTTACCTAAATGCTAGGGAGGGTGATGTGAATATGCAGTGCTCTGGGCTTTCAGTCTCCCAGGGCCAGCAGGTGTTATTGCCACCTTTTTCTCAAGCAGCAGAAAGCCGGGTCCTTTGGGTGAGACCCAAGCCCACCTCACGATCAACAGCAAAGCAGATGATGCTGCCCAGCACGAAGGTGCCCCACACATGAGCCTAGAGACAAAGGTGTAAACCTACTGGAGAGCACACAGAGGCTATGAAGCAAATGTGTTGAGTGCTGCAGGGCAGGTCTCTGCCCTCTTTGAGGTGTGACAGTGCTGGTCATAAACCTCCGGCAGCCCAAGCTTTTAAGTCACATCCTGTGGGGACTCTTTTTGAGTTCAGGTGTAAGTGGAGATGCCTCCAAGGTGTTGGGCCGCCCTTCTTGTTTTGAGAAGGCATAACATCATCCCCCATGCAAAGCAAGTGCCACATCATCCCTTGTCACTCTCAGGTAGTTTCAAGGCAGCGGCCAACGGCAGGATCCTGAAGAAGCACTGTGAATCCGAGCAGCGCTGCCTCGACCGCCTGATGAACGATGTCCTGAAGCCGTATGTTCCTGCCTACCACGGCGACGTTGTCAAGGATGGGGAGCGATACAACCAGATGGAAGATCTGCTGGCTGAATTTGACTGCCCCTGTGTTATGGACTGCAAAATGGGGGTCAGGTGAGTGGCTTTGGGGATGTTATGTGAGTTTTAAGATGGGATACCCAAAGCAAATGCATCTCCTGGGTAAAACTGCCTGAAACATGCAGGTAAGAACACCAGGCTCATCTGTCTTCAGGAAAAGCTAAGCCAATAGCATGAGGGAGAGAGCCATGGGAAAGCCTGGGTATGGGAAGGACACATCAGGCTCCTTCCTTCTCTGCTCGTTGACTGTCCTGCATGCTGGGAAAGTGGTTTGGTGTGTTGGAAGGGACAGCACTCTGTTTGGGTTTGGGTATATCAGAATGGCACAGTAGCTTTTAAGAGTATGGAAGCCTTCCTGTCTCTGCCACATGAGGACACAGTCATGGGTCAGGGACCAAAAGGTGTGGGAGATCCTGTCCAGGGTTCCAGGGGTGTGAAATAAAGACACTTGAGTGGCACAACTTCAGTGAGCGAGAAACTTTCCCTCTGCTCACGCTTTGCTCCTTTGCGCACTGGAGGGATAAAATACGTGTGCTAAGTAGTTTAGTGCCTTTCATGCAAAGCTCTTGAAACGTTTCCTAACAGATGAGCAACATTACCCGTGTCCTCCTCGAGAACCATCTACAGATACTCCAGGATCCCAGGCTGCAGCCACTTGGCCAGCAGCAGCTTCTGAGTGAGCGATGCCACAGCTGACAAGGGTGTCCAGAGCAAATGTGAGCAGGATTGGTGACCCCAGGTGGCTGCCAGTTTTGGAGCAGCTTCAGGCCACCACTCGGCCCTGGATCTGCTGCAGGCTGGCAACAGGGCGGGTTGAGACCCCCCTCGCTGGCGAAGACACAGCCCAGACGTGGTGGAGACACTTGCGCTGCTGGAAAAGCTGATGCTTTCTGTGGGAGGGAGGAATCTTTTTTTTCCCCTCCTGAACTCCCGATGTGAAACTCGAACTGGCGTGTTGGGCTGTCGGCAGGGAAGAGGCGAGGAATACTTTCCACCCGAGGGGCGGAGAGAAGGGCAGGGGGCCCGGCGCAGCCACGTGGCCCTGGCTGGCACATACCATGTTGCTGTGGGAAGGAGACAGGACCCACTCTGGACCCAGAGACGACAGCCACCAGAAGACCTGCTGGTCATGCTGCCCAGGTGTTCCTACAGCTGTCTGTGGGAGGAAGAAAGCCTCCCACGAACAGATCACAGGCCGGGTGATTTGTGCACCTGTGGTTTTGGGGCTCAGGCAAGCAGAACAGGGAAGGGGGCACATGTGCTGGGCCTCATCATCCTTAAATAAGATAGTGCTGTGGGAAGAGCTTGTAAGGGAGGGTGAATTGAGTTTAATGCTATGGCGTGGGGCATCCCTATGGCCGAGCAAATAATCTAAACCTGAAAGCCATTAAACCTGTCATCTGAGCCAGGCAGATGCAGGTTTGGGTTTTTTTCTGCCAACCTGGCTTTGGGATGCAGCAGCCTACTCCAGTTGCTCCTAAACAAAACTTTCTCTTTCTTAAGCCCTGGTGATGGTTCAAGCCTGAGGCGACAGGGGGGACAAAGCCACAGAATTAGATGATCCCTCATTCTCCTCGGGAGGAAATCTGAGGAGCATGACCAGCGCTTGTAGCACAGTGCTGCTTTATTGTGCTGTTTTATTCCGTATGTCCCAAAATCATGGGTTTGGTGATCTCAGCTGAAGACTTTAATTTCTTTCATCTGCAGTATTTTTCACAGGGACTGATGCCCTGGAGATGTCTGCTCAGTGATCAGCGCTTGCCCTAAGTAAAGGCACCATTTTCCCTTGCTAAGCCTGTGGGGGACACAAGAACATTGTCCCACATACTATGCCTAGAATCCTTCCCATGTGTTTTGTTTGGTTCTGGAGATGAACCGAGCATGAAGTGCTGGGATTTTGGCACAAGGGACATGGGCAGAGGGCACTGTCCCTCTGCAGAGCTGGGCATGGCTAGTGGGAAGTGTAGAGCAGTTTGGATTTGGGCGGAAGGAGGTGACAGGGTCATTCCTGTGTCCTTTTGCTGGGACATCTCACCCAATTTGGTGAATTGTTTGAAGAGAGCCTGGACACTTGCCAGGCTGAGCCAGGGCAGGTTTGGGAGCTGCCAGATGAACTCCATACTGGTTTATTACTGCTGCAGGAAGTATTACTTTGTGGATGACAGTTTTCTGCATGCCAGAGTGCAGAACTTCACCAGTGTGCTCCTCTGAAGGATGCGTAAAACCAAGGTCTTTGCATGCTCCTCTACACCTTCCATTCTCCTTCCCTCATTTCTCCATCCCAGCTGCACCCCCTAGTCTGGGGGTGATGGTAAGCACCTGGCTAAGGCTGCATGCCTTCCTCTGCTCCATCTTGCAGAGAAAGCTTTTGCTAGATAGTCCACTTAAAACAGACCTATACTGGGCAAAATCATCATCAGTGGAACAACCCTGCATGAAAACACCCCATTTAGCAGCCAGTGAGGCTGAGCCCTCATGGTGCACAGAGTGAGGGGACAGAAGAGCAAAAGAGAGGCACAGGAGTGGCTTTGGCCCACGACGGCCAACCCTCACAGAGAGCTGCAGCTAATGCTGAGGGCTGGGACGTGGTAACCTCCTTCTTGCCTTCAATTCAGCTGGGTCCCAGAGTTTGTGGGCCATTTCCTGGGCACATTTTGAAACCCATGTTTAGTTTGTCACAGCCATGTCACTGCTCAGGGTTCCTGAGCGTTGGGGAACAGGCCCCCCCAGACAAAGAGTGGCAGCAGCAAGGCCATGAGCACCTGTGAGAAAAACTTCCCTTGTTGTTGCCAAACTGGTTGTGGTTCCTTGATGAACTGAAAAGATAGCAGGTGTTGATGATGGAGTGATAATTAAATCAGGATCAATTCACCTGCAGTGAGGCTTGCTCCATTATTTCCTATGCTGCTCTACTCCTTAGAGATCGGCTATCTTAGATAAGCCTGATTTCTGAGGTAAGGGCTGTCTGTGGGTATATGGCACCTCGTGTGGCCCTGCTAATACACCCCCCACTGCTCCTTGCAGAACATACTTGGAGGAGGAGCTGATAAAGGCCCGGAAGAAGCCTAGCCTGAGGAAGGACATGTACCAGAAGATGATTGAGGTGGATCCTGATGCCCCTACAGAGGAGGAGAACGTGCTGCGGGCAGTAACCAAGCCCCGCTACATGCAGTGGAGGGAGACCATCAGCTCGACTGCCACGCTGGGCTTTAGGATCGAGGGGATAAAGGTGAGTCTGCTCCAGTTCTGCAGAGCAGAGGCGTCAGCTGCTGGGAGTGCTCACTAACCAAACTCACTCACAGAGGTACACACTCAGCGTGCTGGTGGCAAGATTGTGTCACATCTGGACACACCCAGTGTCTGCAGCCAAACTACCACCCAGGCACCTCGCCTGGGGCAGTGCTGCTCTTGTGAGCTTACAGTTGAGCTCAGGGCATCCATGCAAGAGGACAGTTTTAGTCATAATCTCATTAAATCAGCTGCTTGCTTGATTTCCCTAACTGCAAAATGCAAAGTGCCATCCTCCAACTTGAGGACTCAAATTAGTTGTTTGCTTTTAATACTACTGTGCCACTCGGCTGAGCCATTAATCCAAATCCCAGTTTGAACATGTGCCGGTCTGCGGTTGGAGCTGTGAGCTTAGCCACAGTCAGTAAGGAGGGTGTATTTACACTCCTGGCCAGAAGAATTCAGCAGCTGAGCCCTCTGAAATGGGGCGAACACACACAGCAGCACTTTCTGTCAGCACCTGCACACACGTGTAACCTGCTGGCTGTGCTTGCTCAGAGCAGCGCTCGCATTTCTGGAGATTCCTGATGGGATGCTTTTGTGTTCCTATTAGATGAGCTAGCCCAGGAGATTTTCTCCTGGTGAGCAGGCTTTGCAGTGAAAGAGATGTCTGGAATGGCACTTGAACAGAGTTAGGTCTGTAACCGCAGAGCAGTTGCATTAGTGATACTACTTGCATGAACATTAGCAATGGCATATGCCTTCTGATAGCCAGCCAACATGAATTAAAGGTAATATCACACTTGAGCCAAGGGTTTCATTGCATGCCTGGGCATGGCATTGGCTTGGCAGCCAAGAGGAGCTCAGTCAAGTTGTGTTTGCGGTAATTCAGGCTTGGGCTGCTGCTGAGGGCCCAGGTGGTAGCTCCGGGCAGCCACTTGCTCTTAGTGGAAGCAACAGCCCAATTTCTACATGTATCTTGGTTAGAGGAGTTTCTTGATCACAGATAGTTTTTCTCCTCTCTGACTTGTAGAGGATTGTCCCAGAGTGCCCATCTGGGTCTCAGTGGCCTTAAACTCCTGCACCTCTCCTGCTTGGAGATAGCAGTGTCAAAATGATAGAATTAAAACAAATTAAGCCATTCCCTAGTAAAGCCCTGAAACCAGATTTTGTAGACTTTCTTGGTAGTGTTTCACTTCACCAAATAGCAAACAAATGCAGGTATTAGACCATGGATTTAAAAGCTGATCAGCAGGAGTGGGTCATTCAGAGCTGCTACTTCCTATTACCCACATTCCAAACCACTGGTGGACAGGGAGTTGTCACCTCCTCTGTGCATATTGCACACAGGGAGGAGGACAACCCCTTCATTTAGCTCTTTCAATGGCCAGCAGAGGACAGTGCATTTAGCTCTAACTCAGCCATTCTCAGAAACCCCTGGAGGAGCATTTGGGCTGAGCCCCTTTCAAGAGTTTCCTGTCAAGCAATGTGAGGCACTCCTGTCCATCCCATGCCTCTGCCTGGGATGCTGCCAGTCGTGCTCCCCCACAACAACTTTCTGTGGTGCCTACATTGGGTCAGGGCACTTGCCTGCTCATGCAGCTCTTCCCTGATATCCCCAGCTCTCCCAAAGACCCTTTTCTGTGAGCTGCTCTGTCAGGACAATCCTTTGCCTAGTTCCCACTGCTGATGTTTTGCTGGTGCTTATTTTAAAACTGCAGCCGTATAAAGAAGGACTGAACCAGTCGGGACCAAAGCTCCCATGCACTGTTTCTTCTCCCTGCTTTCTTTGTATAATCAGAAATATCTGTCTATTAATAGTCCAACATGATATATCCTTGGCCTCCAGCGGTGCTGTGATTTGTCTTGGCCTCTCAGTCTGTGATCTGGGGAAGTTTAGGGGGCTTTACAACAGGAGCAGGTCATACGTGAACCACCTGAAATGAAAAAAGTATAAAAACCCCAAATCATATTCCCACAGAAGAAAAAAAACTACTGTAGAGGGAAATAAAATACATAACAGAGTGGTGAGGTTTCCGCCTCTGTTTTAGCTGCCCATAAGTGAGTTGCTGCCCAATCTGAGCAGTGGATTTTTTTCAAAGTGTTGAAACAGCCCTTTAATTGAAAAATGTTGAGAAGTACTGGCCTCCAGCAGTATTCCTGCTGCTGCTGCTAGGGGCTGACTAATTTGATCAAGGCTCTAATTACTGTAATTCTCCTTAAATCCCTCAGCTTCTGGGTTATTTTCCCCTAAGCTAAAGCATTAGCAGTACACGCTGTTTCACGGCTGGCTTTTTTTCCAACAGGGCTGTAGAGCTGGCTGTGCTGTATCCCTGTTGTTTGCCTTATTTCTGAGGTTGAGTCCTTGCGTTAAGGAAAGTGCCTTTGGTGCCCTGACTGTCTCTCCATGTTATATTTCCTGCTGAGGATGCTTCCCTGGGAAGAGCAGGAGTGAATCTGCCCTGCCCCTTGCTCATGGCTGGAGGCTGGTAAAGGAGAGTACCTTGAAGTGGAAGGACAGGATTTGGCCCTGGGCACAAGGGCTGGAAGGGGTCACAGGGGAAGGAGAGGAAAGGTGGTAGCCTTTGGGATAGCATGGACAGGTAAGGTGAACAGGCAGCTCAGGGCTGGGAAGAAGGATGGAAACCCTTTCCTGGCTGAGCTCTGCCTTTCCCAGATGGCCTTGAGGATCTAGTTTTTCCTCATTAAAATGGAAATTTTCCTCTGCTAAAGGAGATAATGACACTCATCTAACTTTCTGGCGTAGCTTGAAACTGTTGGAAACAGTAGCTATTAATAAAATTTCCATGCTAAAAGTAATACAAGTGATCCCTGGTGACCCAGTTGAAGTTTGTTGGAGCTCATTGCAAAAGTGACACTTCTGAGCTCCTGATCTGGTCTGAGCATCACTCACACTGCCTGCAGCAAGGCCACGGTGGGATGGTATTCCCCAGGGCTGGAATGTCTGCAGGGTCCCAAAGCCAGCCCTGAAAGCCTTCACCTGACTTTCCCAAGACAGGCAGCTTGCAAGCCCCATCCGAGGTCAGACACAGTGCTGGAGGGAGATCTGGCTGACCCGGACCCTGCCTGGGTGACGCCAGAGCGAACTGGAATCACTGATGGGGCGGAGGTTGCAATAGTCCTTATCAGCCCCCCTCACATTTCTCCTGCATGGAAGCCAGCCCCCTCGGGGCTCAGGCACCTGTAAATGTTACAGCAGTTGTCAGCCTCATGGCAGAAACGTCTGGCTGGGCAAGGAAACCACGGGAGGCGTGTAATGGTGGGAGCAGCACTGCGGATAGGCTGTTTGGCTTTCCTGAAGCTGAGACTGCCTTATCTGAAAGACCATCTGTGATTTTCATTTATTTTTAGGAGCACTTAGAAGTCCATCTCCTTTCTTGGATGCTTTGTGGAAAGTTGTGCTCTTTATATGTGAAATGAGTGCTGTGGCACTTCTCCAGATTGATATCGATCGTCCCCCTGGGAGAGGGTGGATTGGTTTCTCAGCTGCCACATCAGGGCTCACGTGAGGGACATAAAGCGGCCTGGTGCCCTTCCCCTGTACATCACACACGTGTCACCATTGGCCACACTGTGTCCAGCCTTGGATGGGGCTTGCCTATCTTGGGAAAGTCGGATGAAGGCCTCCTGCCCATGCAGAGACACAGCTGAAAGGAGGGAGCCTGGCTCTGTCTGGTCCATTGTTAGGAGGGCTGCTACAGCAGGGAGTCTCCCTGGGCACTGCCGATACATGCTCTGCCAGCCATTAGCCTTGCTTTTATGCCCTGTGACAGCATGGTGGTCAGGCTGGGTCCAGGGTGGTTTGAAGCTGGTTGCATTGGTTGCAATCTGTGCGAAGTTTTTCCTGGAGTTTTTCTTTTAATATGTTGCTTTTGTTATCACCTTTGTTAACGCTTGCACAAAACACAAGTTAGAAGCTTAAGTGTGCTGTGTGTTTCATCCCATGTGTTGGTTTGGTGCTGGGCTTGCCTTGCCCAGCTCTCCACAGCCTGAGTACTCAACCTTTCCCCCCAAGCTGGACTGTTCACCATGCTGACAGCCAGCCCTCTGTCCAGGGGGATGTACACTGCCCCATCCCAGGGCATTTTGCTGGGTGGGTCTCAAATCTCCAGGGCAGGTGATTCATTGTACCTTCTTCCTCCCCCAGGCTCTACTCTGCTTCTTCATCCTTACTTCATCTTCCCCAGCCCACAGGATGTCTTTTTGGCCCCTATCCTTCACTCTATTGTGTGCAAACAAGCTGTCCGGAGCAGTGGGATGGAGCTCTGCAATGGAGCTATGAGCAGAAGCATGTGTGGTTTAAAATAGCCCCTGTATCCAGGAAGCAGGATCTGCCTGCCTGTCCCACAGCCCCTCCAGACAATGAAATGTGCTGATGTAAAAATCAGAGCCCAGGAGGATCAGGGAAATGGGGAGAGACCTACAAAGCTGCCCAGAGGTTCAGACAGGAACTGCTGGGTCAGGGCTGAGTGTCATCCCTGCAGTGGACCAAGCCATGCCAACCCCATGGCAGGTCAAGGACAGATGTGCCTCTGGGAAATAGATGGAGGAGAGCAAAAAGCTGCTCGCTGCATCTCAGTGCCAGGCTGCTGCCCTTGAGGGTTTGCAATCCATGGACTATCAAAGGACTAGTTAGGCCAGACAGCCATGGGACTTGCTTCTTGCCTTCATCTCCTTGCTGCAGCAGTCCATGAAGGACTTCACATTTTGTGCCTGCTCCTGAGATGTTGTCTCCATCACACTCAGTTTTGTCCTGTTGTGATCATGCTTTGCTGTCCTACCCAAGCCAGTGAGGCAGCCCAAGGCTGGTGTCAGCACCTGTGCTCAGCCACAGCAGTGATGGGAAGCTATTTGGGCACAGAAACACCAGAAACAGGTAGTCTCCAGCCTGTGCTGGCGGTGAGCACCAGGTCCATGAGTGGGAGCTTGTCCACGTTACCAGTGACCTTGGCAAGTGCGTAATGATAGAGAGCTGCTGTTTGTATTAGAGCTCAATGCATCGAGGCTGTGGCATAGTTTGGGATGTTCAAGGCAGAGAGCTGCTGTCTCTGCTCACCCCTGATCCACAGACAGATCCTCCAGCTGCCAAAAATGATGGTTGCATCCTACTCAGAAATATGCATGGCTGCTGAAACACCTAGTCCTGCCCAACTCCCTCCCTCCCCATCCCACTCACCACTCTCCTGTCTTTTCCAGAAAGAGGACGGCACTGTGAACCGGGACTTCAAGAAGACACGGACAAAGGAACAAGTCATGGAGGCCTTCAGGGAGTTCACCAGAGGGAACAGGAACGTGTTGGTGAGTGGGGGATGCTGGGAGGACTCCCTGGAGAGGGCTTCTCCTGCAGAGGCTGGCCTCAGCTCCCTGCCCTGCAGGGCTGAAGCCTGAGCAATTTCTCTTAAAAAAGCCTGAGAAATAGTGAAAAGAAAGACTATCCAAGTGCAGAGGTGAGGGGAGAGCTGGGAAGGGACATGTTGGCTGCAACAGCACTGCTTAAGACAGGTCCGAGTCTGCTGATGATAATCAAGAGTTGGCTTCCAAAACCCACTGTGGAGTCACAGCCATGTTCTGCCCCTCCTCCATGGGTCTGATGGCCACCTCCAAGCCCACTCCTTACCCCAGTGTGCAATGGCAGGGGCTCCCAGCCTGGCATAATGCCCTGTGCTTGGTCTCGCAGAAGGGTGGCCCTGCGCCAGGCACCCTTCACATGGGCAAGCCGCCGCCAGCGTTTTCGAAGTTTCCCTATGTTGCCAGGAGAATAAGAGATGTAGCTGTAAACAATTTACACCAACTGTGTCAAATATCCTGTTTGACAAAGCGCTCCCATTTTAAGCTGTACTGTATAAAGTCTCCAAAGGCAAGGCTTGAACTGGAGTGGCCCTTGGCACTACCTCCTTCCAACCAGCATGTTCACTTTGACAAGGGTTACCCTGGGATTATTCCTGGATCTGAAAATGAAATTGCCTGGCTGTATTTTATTCCCAAAGAGCTTGGAGCATACTCACACCATCATGCTGTGGCTCTGGATGGGGCTCCTTGGCCAAAGCATTTTAATACAGTGATCCCCACATCTGTGCTTGCAGGTGTGTTACAGTGCCCAGATACCTGCTGTGTGTGTGCTCTTGTGCTTAGTCCTTCTAAATAAACCCCAAAATCAAATTACCAGTGGGGCCCCCTGAAAACATTTAGTGCCTTCCAGCAATTTGCCAGGATACTCAGACTCATAGATCTTGACCTGTGTGTTGACTCGTGTGAAAGCCCTTCTGCCTATGGGACCAACTCTGCAGAAGTGCTGATATGGAGTTACAGAAGTGTCTTATGGTGTTTGACTGACTGAGTGATAAAACGACAGATGAGATGAAGACTTGACTTATTAAAAGGGTGCAAGGGAGAGGAAAAAAACAGCCTGGCTGTGCATACACAGCAGTGACAGCTGAATTAGCTGTTCCCTCCTGGGGAGCACCATGGATGCAGTGGGGAGAGTCTGCAGAAAGCACTGTTTCAGCAAAAGCAAATGATTTCACTAAGTTTTGGAAGACACAGGATACTGTAGAAGCCAAAAGGATAAGTGGATCACAAAAAGAAGGGGATACCCTCTGAGGGGACAGGTCTGTGGGAGGATGCTGAGTGCAGGGCGGCTGAAGAGCACCCTTGGCCTCTCTCCATACAAACGTAGTATCATGGAGATGATGCTGGGAAGAGGGGTGACTTTCCTGGCTGCCCCATGCAGCAGTTTTTATGTAGGTTTCTTCAGCACTGACGTCTTGGTTTGTTTTGTTTTTTGTAATTCCAGAACAGTTACCTTAACCGGTTGAAGGGTATCCGTGCTACCCTGGAGACATCCCCATTCTTCAAGTGCCATGAGGTAATACTCTTGTTTAGATAGATCTGCCTAGAAATGCAAACTGTTTAATCTCAGCTTGTGCAAGGAGAGAAGTCAAAGTCAGAGGCTGTAAATATCTATCATTTTGAATTCATTCTTATATCCATATTTTCATAGCCCTGTTTATCTAATACTTATGTGCAAATACAGATGATGACAGATACAATGTTTATGCATTTGACATGAGCTCAAATCTACTGAAAACCAGTGTTCATACAGATTAAAAGCTATCTAGGAGGAACTCAGGCTGCTTATGGATTTACATGACAGGGAAAAATCCCTAGTGTAAAAGCATAGGGGTTTCCTGGAGAGAAATGTGCCTCCTGTTTCAATGTGCCTCAGGTATCATTTGGCTACCAGTTGCTCCATGTGATCAAACAGGCCTTCGACATAGCCATGAATTGCAGCTATCCCAAGCCTGGCTTTCGTGAGCTGGTTGGGTCACCACAGTAAGAACTCTTCCTTTAGAAGGATTTTCCTACAGAAATGACTGTCCGTGATACCAACTTTTTCCACAGTGAAAATTCAGTTCTGATGGGAAAACAAAGATGAAATGCCACTTTTTTTGGCCATTTCAGGAACTGAAATGCTTAACAATTTAATGAAATAACTTTATTGATTTAGCATTGGTGAAGAATATTTGCTACTCCATCTACCTAAGAAAACACGAGAGCATGTGTTGTCACGTGTTGTCACGTGTTGTCACGTGTTGTCACGTGTTGTCACGTGTTGTCACGTGTTGTCACGT